AACATTGTTGTATTGCGCACTTGAATCAAAAACCACCCTAATTTTTCCTGGCTTCTGAGGGTGGTAAATGCCAAAACTAGGGAGGTACCAGCATTCTTGTTCTGGAGCTAGAGCTGGAGCTGGTTCAGCGTGGCCCTTACTGAAAGTTTTGTCTAAAAACTCAATGTAATGGTCTTTCATTTCAGGTTTCTTCTTCAGTGTTTTGCAGAGTGACATTAAGCGACTGAGAGCTTGGTCCCTATTGTTGGGTAAACGCTGTCTGGGGGAGCGGAATGGGAGTGGAGCTACCCAGTTGTTCGCCTCATCTTTAGTGAAGTCTCTGTGCATAATTTTCAGGAACAATGCATCTTCTACTGAAAGAGCCGTTTTGTCATCATCTACTGTTTGCTGGAAAATGTGTCTGCCTAGTTCTGCTTGTGTCTTCTCGAATTTAGGACAGCTTTCTGTATATCTCTCTTTGATATGGATTTTGCTTCCACAGGGGCTAAGGTAAGTAGGGCGCCCGTTATTCAGAACGTCTGTCTTGAAAGAGTTTACTGTGGGTTTGTGGGCACCTGAGAGACAGACATCACCTACAACCACCCATCCCAGATCGAGGCGTTGGGCATAAGGTGCACTGTTTGGGCCATTTACCTGACTGCGAACCTTGTGAGCTTGGATGATGTCCCGGCCCAAGAGGAGGAGAATGTCCGCGGCTGGGTCCAGAGGAGGGATCTGTGAAGCCAGTGTGTGTAGATGAGGGTGAGCCGACACAGCCTCCTTGGTGGGTATCTCATCTCTATTATCTGGAATGTGATCACATTCTGTCAGTGTGGGCAGCAACATGGACACTTCTCCATTTACATCCTGAACAACGAAATTAGTTGCTCTGCGTCCTCCAGCCTCTGATAAGCCTGCACATGTTTTCATGGTGTATGGGAGCATAGTGCTTTTCACTTTAAACATGTCGAAGAAAGCAGACCTAGCTAAGGATGAGTTGCTTTGGTCATCCAACATGGCGTACATCCTCCTTTTCTCTTCAGGGTTTGTGCGGGGATACACGTCGACTAAACAAATCTTAGAGCAGGATTTGCCCTTTAGACCTGGGCCACACACCTCTGTGCAAGCAGTTGTGGTTACAGGGCTTGAAGGATCAGACTCCCCGCCGTGGTTTTGAGGCAGGAGGTTAGAGTCCTTGATTGCCCACGGAGGTGGACCAACATGCATGGCAGACACGTGAGCATCACTATTACATTCCGAGCATTGGATAAGAGCCTTGCAATCCTTAGCTCGGTGACCTGTGGAAGAACAACACTTATAACAAATAGCATGTTCTTTGAGGATGCTTTTCCTTTCTTCTAGTGTTTTTGACCTAAAACCTCTGCATTTGGCAAGTGAATGGGGCTTGTGGTGAATAGGACATTGTCTGTCTGGGTTGAGAGCTGATGTTTGAGCCGTGATGTTTGTTTGACCAATATCTGTTCTGTTCACTGCAACCGGAACTCTGTATTTAGTCGGTTTCAACAATGGCTTATCAGGTTTTGGAGCCATTATGTTTGAACTTTGTAACATAAAGCTAGGATCTGTTTTCATTTCTGCATAGTCATTTATGAACTGAACAAAATATGAGAAAGGTGGGTAAACTGCACCATTGTTCTTTTTGTATTTTGTCCCCTGTTTCACCCAGGACTCCTGGAGTCCGTAGGGGAGCTTTTCCACTATCGGGTTTATTCCCCTTGGGGTGTCCAGAAAGCTAAGGCCGGGTAGATAATTTTCACTTTGTGCATACTCTAACTCCAACAGGAGATCTGCAAGCTCCTGCAATAAGTGAGTGTCCTTATTAGATATTTTTGGAAAAGACTGTAGGCGTTGGAAAAGTGACGCTTCGACTACCTCTGGAGAACCAAAACTTTTGTCTAGACGTTGCCACAAACGTTGAAGACCTGCGTGTGGGTTGTTCACATGGACTGCCCTGATCCTCAGAGCATGCTGGAGTGACTCCCCGCTGAGCCACTTGGTGAGGAGGTCAAGCTCTTCGCTGGACTTGAGGTTGAGGCCTTCTATGGCGTTGCGGAAGATGGACTTCCATGACAAGTAGGACTCAGGACGGTTGTCGAAAACCTTGAATCCCGCTGTCAGCAGATCACGTCGTGCTAGACAGGCTGAGAAATCTGAGAATTCAGTCTGTGGAAGCACTGAAGGTTTAGGTTGGGTTGAAATGACAGTTTCTCTGTGTATGGGAGGGGACTTTGGTTGCTCCTGATCTACAAAATCAGCGAGATGTTCACCTGGAGAGGAGGCAACTGGTGGTTGACTCTGTCGTAGATGCTGAGCGTCGTTCTTACCGACCAGTTGTCGTGTAGCAGGCTTTCCGTCTTCATTAACTACCAAGCTGCAGTTAGCGAAATGAGCGTTCACATAATCTTGAGCACGTCTGATGGAAGGAGGTGTCTTAGAGGAGACTCCTTGTTCTGTGAGGTCAACGGCGTCATGCTCCTCATCGGCTGCCGCTTCCAGGACATGAGCTGCGGCGAGTGCTGCTTCAGCCTCACCCTCCTTCTTTAGAGCGTTTAGTGTTGCCTCGATGCGTGCCTTCTCAACCTCCATGTCGATCTGGCGTTTGGCGTACTGTGCTCTGGTGCGGGCGGCTTCTGCTTCTGCTCTGGCTCGAGCTGCAGCTTGGCTGGTGGAAGAACGACGTGACGAGTGGGAAGAGCGTGAGTGGCACTCTGACCGGACCGCCATCTGGGAAAGAGGTGGTGAAGCTTCAGGCTGCGACATCTTGGGTGCTTGCTAGGTAGATAATCTTCTTACTCTACTGCCCTCAGGTGAATGTATGGCTATTCACCCTATGCAGCGAGCTTAACATAAAAGGACATGGTTCCAGGAACGACAGGACACATCACTTTGTCTTTTTCTGAAGACCGTTTTTTCCTCTTTTAATTTGTAAGACTGTGAACATACAGTAAAATAACATGTAAGCATCAGTATTTACATATTTTGTAACCAAAAACAGGTTAGCAACATAGCTTTCCTTATGCTTTCATTCACCATCCTTATACATTCAAATAAGCTTTTAAGTAACATGAAAGTAACGAATCTTACAGAAAACAAAGCTACACGTTGATTACTTACAGATTATGGTTCAACAAACTCCCCAACGACGAAAACTGGGCTTAAAGTTGTGCAGGTTTTCTGCTCCACGCATTCTCTCACACTGCCTGAGTGAACTTTTCCGGCTGCTTACAACACATCTCCAAAGGGGGCAGTGTAGCGCACACCAAACAACCAAAGAAAAAGCAACAAACCTCAAGGGGTAATACTGCCCACTGGTGGGAAAACTGAGAAATGCCCCAGCCAAAGAAACTCAACAAAGCGACAACAGAGGGGGCAGAATATATATATATATATATATATATATATATATATATATATAGCCATGCCCTGATGTGGGGCTGGGGGGTGCGTCAACATGGTCGGGACATAGAAGGGGGTGCGCGGCTAAATAAGTTTGGGAACCACTGTCATAGGGCAATACAAGTTTGCTTTAATATCTGAGGATTTCTACAGTAAATCTGTCTGAAATGTGGCACACAGGTTCAGTTGATGTCCCAGAGTCATAATGTGTTAAAAGTTGGACATCAACTATGAAGGATGATTTTTAATGAATTTTTGAATGTGACGCGCACGCGGATCTAGTCTTTCTATTGGGAAATACAGCGAGAAGGCAGTACCGTAAATACTGGTGTAAACGCGCAAGGAAATTTTCGCGGCAGAGAAGATGCGGCTGGCTTGACCGCGGCTCACAAATGACGGCTCACTTGACCGGGGTGCGTCAACCCGGTCTCACAGTAAGACCGAATTGGAACTCCTCCCCTCTCCTGGAACTTCTTTTGATGATATAGATCTTCGTCCCCCTCCCCCTGCCACACCTGGTGTGAGGGGTTGTGCCTTGGTCTGCCTGACTGTTCGTGGCAACCGGGTCTGGGGGTTTCAGATTTTGGCATCTGCCTGATAGATCCCGGTGGCTGCCTGGTGGGGTCTGGGTCCCTGGGCTCTGCTGGGTCCCCAGCAGGGGTGATCGCCCCTGGGTCCCGGGTCGCTGGGTCCTGGGCTCAGCTGGCTAGGGGGTGGGAGGCAGCGGGCGGGCCAGAGGGCTTGCCGCTGATGTCTCCCGGGACTCTGCCGGCTGTTGGTTGTGGCCCCCCGGGGTGATCCTCTGTGCCTCTCGAGGGGGGCGGGGGCCTTTCTGGTTGCTGTCTCCTTGGGGTTCCTGTGTTCTGGGGCAGCGCCTGGATCTCTGGGACTTGGAGCTCCCCCGTCTCCTGCGCATCTTTGGGGGGCGGATCTGTGGTCCCTCACACTCTCTGTTGGACGCTCCTATAGAGAAACCTTACATAAACAAGCGCGTGTACACACACAGGTGCTCACATGGTGCTCTCCAAAGTATTGGCTTGGGCACGTTAAACACAGGTCTTAAGACTATGGTGGGCACTTAATGTACTGTGATTTATTATCGTGATTCTTCAGTTAAGCATTGTTGATTTTATATTTCTTCATCAAGTTGACGCAGTGATAGCTTGATCTTGTTGTATTGTTGTTGTGTCCCATTTTTTTGCCCTTTTGCTTTTTATTTGTCTTTTTCTGCAGGTCTAGAAGCAGACTCTTGTTCATTATGGTTCATTTTTGTGGACCCCCCCCCCCTCCCCCCTCCCCCCCTCCCCACCTTTTCTTTTCCTTTCTCTTTCACCTCTGTCTCCGTGTCTGGTCGGAATTACAAAGCATTCAAAAACAATAACAATAAAGTTTTAAGTATCAGGCGTGACATTAAAAGCAGACGCTTTGATGCTCCACCTGAGAGTAAATCTGTAAGGCTTGTTACCGGCATTCAGACATCAATTCTGCTTGCTTCACAGCCAGACAGGACACGGGGGGGGGGGGGGGGGGGGGGGGGATGGATGGATGGATGGATGGATGGATGGATGGGTGGGTGGGTGGATGGATGGATGGATGGATGGATGGATGAGATATTCAAGGGGCAGGATGGATGGAGGAGATATTCAGGGGACAGAATGATGGAGTTATTTCTGCTTCCTACAAACATGTCAGTAAAGTTGAACAAACATGCAAATCCATGTCCACGTGTACATCAGGGCATTTGGAGGCAGCTTCAGTTGATGCAGAACGATCTCTGACTGTTACAGCTTTCTTCCTCTGACATTGTTTACTTTAGTCATGTCTTATTCTGTTGCTTTTCCTGTACCTAAGTCAACTTTTCTTTTTGCAGAATGCTATGCCGAGTCTTCTGCTGGATTTTACTGTGTTTTCTGCACACAGGATGTTCACAGCGGTGTGCATCATCCAATCCTACATCTTCCTCATGTTTGCGTACATGTCCACATTGTAACACAACTAAAGGGGCATGCATTACTCGTTGTAAAAACAAAGGTGAGTTGCTTCACTTTATTCTACAATGTTAGTAATACATTAGACAAAACTCATTTGGTTTTGTTTAATGGACATAAATTCACACATCCGCAGTTACATGCTACATGGAAGACACTGAGAACAATCTCACAAATGGAACTGATGAATTCAAAGTCCAGTAAGCACTTTCATTTTCAACACTGAACCGATGAATTATTTTTTACTGTGTCAGCGACTGGTTGTTGGTCCGAAATGTGAATCTTTTTATTTTCTTGTCCTCCTCCACAAGAGCCTTCTCTAAACTGCAAAGCCAACTGGAGAACATGAATGTGACTGAGACGACCTTCGTGTCTTTTAAAAACATCAAGGCCATCTTGTTTAAGCCCACTGGTGACTTTAGCGGCCTTGAAATTAATGCCAATGATAACGAGGTAAAACATATTTATTATTCTTCTAAAATGTGTTGCGTCGTCATCACTGATTTATATGTAATGAGAATTTGGGCTTTTTTATGACTGAAATAATGAATTTTACCTGCAGCATTAACAGGTGCAGTAACTGCTTTCAAACACTGCTGTTAGAACATGAAAGCAGGTTCCCACCAGCTGTCTCACAGGAGAACTGCAACATGAAAACAGCATATGACAGGACGTGTGGGAAAACTGAACGGTTTAAATTCTGGTTCATGGAATATCAGTCAGCTGTGTTAGACATGAGGAATGGACCAGCCGGGATAAATTAACAGCTCAAAGTCAGTCACAGATTTCTAAAATCAGACTAATGACCAAAGAGCTGAGGGAAGGTCAAAGGGTGAACACCTGTTCCTCAGCCTCGTCTAGGCTGCTCAATCCTCTGTTTAAAGGAAAGAGGGGTATAGATCTTGGACTGGACAGATGGGGTCAGTCATTGTATAGTTTGCTCTGGTTCTGAACATTGACTGGTGTCAATGTTCCCCAGGGAGGTGCCTCCCAAAGTACAACTTGGTCGAACATTTTCCACAAAGTGATGGAATCTGTTGTTCTGGCAGGAGAACCCAGACTAATGCTGTGAGCTAATGTTCTGTCAGGATTAAAACAAACACACATCTACACACTGACAGGTGAATCCAGTAACAAAAAGTTGAACCTTTATTCTTCCTGCCATCTTCTCCTTCTCAGCTTCAGATTCCCAAAGTTAGCTAGCATGGCCACAATGGAGGTGTTCAATACTTGTGCTATTCTGCATGTCTGTGTCCCTTTGCTGCATAGCTCTGGTAACCCAAGTTTCCTTTTTATTTGTTGTTTTTAGAGGTTGCAGGTTACACAAAGGCAGTAAGTGAATTTCCCCACTGTGGGATTAATAAAGTCTATTCTATTCGATGAGCAGCAGGCTGGATTAGCATTAGCATTTCTCAGAGTCTGATCACTCCTCCCATGATTGATGCTGTTTGATTTGTGAATCTGAATCTGAGAAGGAGCAGACAGTGGGGAAAAATCTCTGTTCTTCTCTGGTTTATGACACAAACAGCTACCAAAGCTGCATTCCACCACTACATGTCTTTTTCTGTCTTCTCTTTCCTGACACTCATGTAGGCACTGCCAGGTTCAAATGTGTCCAACAGAAAAGTGAGTGTCTTCCTGCCCGGAGAGCTGCTCGGTGCTGGACAGAATAACACAATCGTGTTCTACATGATTCTCCTTCCAGCTGCGGTCAGAGACTTTACTTTAAATCAAATCAAATTGTTGCTCTTAATCAAAAAATATATTCCAACTTACTCTCATACCAGCTGCATACTGGTGTAACTGTAGTATCCAGTTAGTTTTGCATGGAGCTAGAAAATACAAGTTTACAATGATTCAGTTAAATGGAACTTTAACTGAAAATGCAAGCTGTAAATATGTTGACTGTTAACCCCTCAACGCCTGTTGTTGCAAATTTGCATCAAACCTGCATTTGCTCCAAATGCAACCAAAATACCGCATGTACCTAAAAGAAAATCCACAATTGAAAAAAGTATTTATAATTGAAAACGTATTCAGGCCTCAAAGTGACAGTGTGTAGTTTCCCTGGCGATAGGGGGCAGTACATACCTAAATCATTGCAAGTAAGCATTATTTTTGTGTTCAAGTAAGGTCTTACTAGCAGATGGACGTTAGGGTTAAAAATCCCTTGGGAGTGCAACCTCCAGCAAAATGACAAGAACATCACCTGCAGTGAGTGACAAGGTAAAAGTATAAAAGAACAACGTTTAGAAAGATTTGTAACCATTTGTTACAAGTCAGTAAATGCATTCTGTCCTAACTGGCTTCCTAGAAGGAAACATTACATCCAATATGGCATCACCCAGAGAATTAGACTCTCATGTATTTTAGACCCAATTTTTATGGTTATATGTTATGAAACCGCCAATATTTTTCAGCAACTGGATATCTTTTAATTCATTTACAACAGTTCAATGGATATTTCCAGAGATTAATGGTAAAAACTACACACTGTAACTTTAAGGGGTTAAAAAATAGTACAAATAAAATTTATATTAAAAATACAATACTTTAAATGTGTATATATTTTTGTTTTCTTTTTTATGTTACGTGATTCTCAAACTAAACTAGAAAAATTTGCATTTCTTGCAGAAATGCTGTTTGAATGCTGGCTAGCTGAAACTGTAAGCTGAAGCTGAAACTAAGCAAAACTGTCAAAGTGAGCTGAATGTATTGAAAGATGTAGAAGCAAAAAGCACTAACAAGCAAATAAAGCACAGAAAGTAAGTGAAGAATGGAGAAAAATAATCCTAAATAGCAAAAAACTGAAATCTGTGACCATTGCATAACAATTTGGACAGCTAAATGTCTAATTCTCGCATGTTATTGCGATAACAATGTATGCCCCCCCCCCCTCAGCTAATGCCGAGGCAGCTTGTGACTCTCTTCACTCTGTGGTTAGCAGACTGCAAACGCAATCCCCGAGAGCCTTCTTTATAATATCTGGGGACTTTAATCATGCCTCACTGGACTCTACGATGCCCACCTTCACCCAGTATGTGACCTGCCTGACCAGGGGAAACAACACACTGGACCTACTGTATGCCAATGCTGAAAAGGCATATAGTTCATCACCTTTCCCTCCTCTGGGCAGATCTGATCACAACCTGGTGTATCTTGCTCCTGTGTATGAGTCTTTGGTGCGAAGGGAGCCACCAGCCACCCGTACAATACAGAGATGTTCGGAGGAGAGTGAGGAGGTCCTTAAGGACTGTTTTGAGACAACTGTGTGGGGGGTGTTCTGTAAAGATCATGGAGATGACATCGACAGCCTCACTGCATGCATTACTGACTATATTAATTTTTGTGTGGATAGCATTATCCCTATCAGGACTGTACGGTGTTTCTCTAATAATAAACCCTGGATTACTCCTGAAATAAAAGAAGCCTTCAAGCAGAAGAAGCGGGCCTTCAAACTCAGAGACACGGAGGAGTTGAAAAGAGTGCAGAGAGAACTGAGGAGACTGATAAGGAATGGGAAGGACATCTACAGGCAGAGGATGGAGAACCAGCTTCAGCAAAGCAATGTGGGTGAAGTCTGGAGAGGCCTTAGAACCATCTCAGGTCATAAACATCAGAACTCTCTGCCTGTGAGGGATGTGAGGTGGGCTAATGAACTGAATCAATTCTTTAATAGATTTGACTCGGCTACGAGGCAGACCTCAACGTCGGCTGCTGACTCTCCCACCCTCTCTACCACTGTTTCACCTCTGACCTCTCACCCCTCCTCACCTTCAGTAACAGTATCTAGTACACACTTTACGCAAGGCCCCGGCTGGTCCCTCTCTACCACACAGGTGAGGGGGGAAATGAGGAGGATAAATGGCAGGAAGGCAGCGGGTCCAGATGGTATCAGCGCATGGGTGGTCAGGTCCTGTGCGGACCAACTGTGTGAGGTAATAGGGCACCTTTTCAACCTGAGCCTGAGGCTGGGAAGAGTCCCAAAGCTCTGGAAAACATCTTGTGTGGTTCCGGTGCCAAAGACTACACGCCCCAAAGATTTTAACAGCTACAGACCGGTGGCTCTAACATCCCATCTGATGAAGACTCTGGAGCGGTTGGTTCTGGTTCGGCTTCGGTGCCTAGTGGGCTCTTCACTGGACCCGCTTCAGTTTGCCTATCAAAGTGGCATTGGTGCTGATGATGCGGTCATCCACCTCCAGCATCGGTCGCTCGCTCACCTGGAGACTGTTGAGAGTACTGTGAAGATCATGTTTTTTGACTTCTCCAGTGACTTCAATACCATTCTTCCCTCGGTTCTGAAGGACAAACTGGTGAACGCTGGAGTGGATCATCACTTCGCTACCTGGATTCTGGACTACCTTTCTGACCGACCACAGTATGTGAGGGCTCAGGGCTGTGTGTCGGATAGTGTCGTCTGCAGCACGGGGGTCCCCCAGGGGACGGTTCTGGCTCCGTTCCTTTTTACCATCTATACTGCGGACTTCTCCTATAACACTACTCAGTGCTTCTTGCAGATGTTCTCTGATGACTCTGCGATTGTAGGTCTCATCAGGGATGGGGATGACAAGGAGTACAGGAGACTGACTCAGGATTTTGTGGACTGGTGCCAGTTGAACTATCTACAGATTAATGCCAGCAAAACTAAGGAGCTGGTGGTAGACTTTCGTAGGCATAAGCATTCCTCGCTCCAACCATTGAGCATACAGGGCATGGACATTGAGATAGTGGACAGTTACATGTACCTTGGGGTCCATCTGAACAATAAACTGGACTGGAATCATAATTCAGATGCCCTGTATAGAAAAGGGCAGAGTAGGCTGTACCTACTACGGAGACTGAGGTCATTTGGAGTTGTGGGCCCTCTCCTGAAGACCTTTTATGACTCTGTGGTGGCCTCGGCCATCTTTTATGGTGTGGTGTGCTGGGGCAGCAGCATCTCTGCGGGGGATAGGAAGAGGCTGAACAGACTGATCCGCAGGGCCAGTTCTGTTCTAGGATGCCCCCTGGACCCTGTGGAGGTGGTGAGTGACAGGAGAATGACAGCTAAACTGTCATCCATGTTGAATAATATCTCCCATCCCATACAGGTGACTTTGACAGCTATGAACAGCTCCTTTAGTGGGAGACTGCGGCACCCAAGGTGTGGGACAGAGAGATTCCGGAGGTCTTTCCTCCCCACTGCTGTCAGACTTTACAACAGATCTGTTGGATGAAGTGTACTCTGTATTTCTAAGCTGTATATAGTATGGCTATTATTTTTAACCCATTCTTAAGGTATAAATTATCTATTGTATTGAGTTTATTTTATCTCATTACGATCGAACACGTGTTATTTCAGTTGGACAAGTGCAACAGTTTAATCTTTACACTTAGCTGAACTGTGAAATTAGCAGCTCATGCTAAATTTGGTAACTGATTGCTGAAGTTGTTGAATAGCTGAAGTGAAGCTGAAACTAAGCTAAACTGGCAAATGAGCTGAATTTAGTGAAAGATGTGAACGCAAAAAGCACCAACAAGCAAATAAAGCACAAAAAGTAAGTGAAGAATTAAGAAAACTAATCCTAAACAGCAGAAAACTGAAATCTGTGAACATTGTTTAAAAACTGGACAACTAAAATGTCTAAACACCTGTTATTTCAGTAGGACTAGTTTAACAGTTTAATTTTTACATTTAGCTGAACTGTGAAATTAGCATTATATGCTGAATTCAGAAAAGGATTGCTGAAGCTGCTGAATAGCTGAAGTGAAGCTGAAACTAAGCAAAACTGTCTAAATGAGCTGAATGCATTTAAAGATTTAGAAGCAAAACTCACCAACAAGTGTAATAAAGCTCAGAATATAGCTGAAGAATGGACAAAAAATGCTAAGCAGCAGAAAACTTTAATCTTTGAACACTGATTAAAAACTCAAATTTTGAAATGTTAAACAGCTGGCATTTGAATGAGAATAGTTGAATCAGAATCAGAATCAGAAAAGGTTTATTGCCATTGTCAGTGAACAAACAATTCAAAAACTAGGAACTTGCTTTGGTATTAATGTGCTACATATAACATGAATAATAATAAGATTAAAAATAGAATAAAATAGAATAAAACTAGAATAAAACTTTCAGCTATAAAAAATGGCAGGTAATGGTAACATGGCCGATAACGTGATGTTGTGTCGAGTACAGAAGACCAGCATGTTTGTGTGTTTATAAGCTGTTCACAAGTCTAACGGCAGATGGAAAGAAGCTGTTCTTATGGCGGGAGGTTCTGGTCCGGATGGACCGTAACCTCCTGCCTGAGGGAAGTGGCTTAAAAAGTCTGTGACCCGGGTGAGAAGGGTCAGCTGCTATCTGACCTGCACGCCCCCGAGTTCTAGAGACGTACAGGTCCTGGAGAGATGGAAGGCTGCAGCCAATCACCTTCTCAGCAGAGCGCACAATGCGCTGCAGTCTGTGTTTGTCCCTCACTGTGGCTCCAGCGTACCACACAGCGATGGAGGAGGTGAGGATGGACTCAGTGATGGCCGTGTAAAACTGCACCATCATCTGGGCCGGCAGCTTGGCCTTTTTCAACTGCCGCAGAAAGTACATCCTCTGCTGGGCCTTTTTGAGCAGGGAGCTCCCACCTAAGGTCATGTGTGATGGTGGTTCCGAGGAAGCGGAAGGAGTCCACAGTGGTGACGGGGGTGTCTGTCAGGACGAGGGGGAGAGATGGGGC